GTTCAACATCGTCTTGTGATTGATCATTTCCTAGAGAGAGTGATTCATTAGATATATGATCATCACAATGTTCATCTTTATGAATTCTAATGACTTCGGAGATGATATTACTAATGATTCCAACATCTCCTTTGGCACACATAAGGTTACGAAGCTCAAATAAACAATCACCAAATTTAGGATCATTGGAATTCATTTTACTCAAGACAATTGACTTATGGAGAATCTCAACTAGATTTTTCAAGGAATAATTTGGAAATCTTTCCTCAAGAAATCTCCATATGGTGTAAGCACAGTCAAGAGTAGGCAAGCATGTAATCAAATTTTTAGGCAATCCTCTAGTGATAAGATTTATAGTTCTAAGATTGCGAATCATGTCAAGATCCACATTCGGAGTGGGATGCAAAGGATCACTAGGGGCATACAAGGGCTAGTAATGTACTTGTTCAAGTGATATTCATTGAAAATCGCAAGCATCTCATTTTTCCACTCATGAAAGAACTCTACGTCAAGTATGGGGTACTCTATCTCTAAGACTCCCCAATGTAGACTCATCCATCTTACTCCAATGGTGATTAAACCAAAGCAATGGAGACCAATGCTCTGATACCAATTGAAAGGATCGAGAAGAGGGGTCTAGAGGGGGTGAATAGACACTTAACAAAGAAAAGTAGTAGTTTTTATAATTTCTTTAAGTTAAGGTGGAGTTTTAGCACAAGTTTAAACATTCACAATACATTTGAAGCAAGCTTGGCAAGAGTATATGAGCAGCGGAAAGTAAAGCATGCAAGTTGCAAGAAAGTAAATGGATGGGATTGGAGTGTGCAAACACAATTGGAGACACGAAGATTTTTTCTGTGGTTCTTATAGGTGGTGCTATCATACATCCACGTTGATGGAGACTTCAACCCACGAAGGGTAACGGTTGCGCGAGTACACGAAGGGCTCCACCCAAGAAGGGTCCACGAAGAAGCAACCTTGTCTATCCCACCATGGCCATCACTCACGAAGGACTTGCCTCACTAGGGTAGGTGATCTCCTTGCCCGTACAAACTCCTTGGTTCAACTCCATAATCTTGACGGAGGCTCCCAAGTGACACCTACCAATCTAGGAGACACCACTCTCCAAAAGGTAATAGATGGTGTGTTGATGATGAACTCCTTGCTCTTGTGCTTCAAATGATAGTCTCCCCAACACTCAACTCTCTCTCACATATTTGGATATGGTGGAAAGATGATTTGAGTGGAAAGCAACTGGGGGAAGGCTAGAGAACAAGATTCTTGTGTTTGGATTGGAATATCTTGGTCTCAACACATGAGTAGGTGGTTCTCTCTCAGAAAATGTATATTGGAAGTGTAGGCATGTTCTGATGGCTTTATCCATGAATGAAGAGTGGGTGGAGGGGTATATATAGCCTCCACACCAAATATAGTCGTTACACACAATTTACCAAACTCGCTGGGACCGAATCGAGAAACTCGGTCAGACCGATATGGTTCAAAATGTGAACGTTAGAATTTCCGGTGGGACTGACATGATCAACTCGGTGGGACCAATGTGCTAGGGTTAGGGTAAAACCTCAACTCGGTTCGACCGATTACACAAACTCGGTGAGACCGATTTTGGTAATAAGTGAAACAGAGAATTGGTCAATCAAACTCGGTGGGACCGACTGCATATCTCGGTGGGACCGAAATAACTGCAGTAGGAAATAGAGAGTTTGCATGCCCATCTTGGTGAGACCGAGATCCCATCGGTGAGTCCAAACTGATTAGGGTTTCTGGCAGTGGTTATGTCAAGTGAACTCGGTGGCGCCAGATAGATCAAATCGGTGGGGCCGAGTTTGACTTTATGTTTGGGACATATGTGGATATGAGAAAGTGGTTGAGGGTTTTGGAGCATATCACTAAGCACTTTGAGCAAGCAAGCCATTAAGCAACACCTCATCCCCTTTTAATAGTACTGGATTTCCTATGGACTCAATGTGATCTTGGATCACTAAGATGAAACTGTAGAGTCTTGAGCTTTGAGCTTTTGCCAATCTTCTGTCCTTAGCATCTTTAAGGGGTTCCACATCCTCTTGTCCAAGCCACTCCAATATTGAACTCATCTGAAATATACTAGATAAAAATATTAGTCTAACAAGAGATATTTTGACATTAATTACCAAAATCACTAAGGGAGCACTTGTGCTTTCACTTACCTCCCCTCGTCTTCGAGGGAAATATCTTAGTCTTGGTATCCTTCAGATTCTTCATAGTGATAAATTGATAATAATCCCAAGTGACTCAACAAATATAGCTATGCTCCCCGGCAATGGCGCTAGAAAAAGGTCTTGATAACCCACAAGTACAGGGGATCGCAATAGTTTTCGAGGGTGGAGTATTAACCCCAAATTTATTAATTCGACACAAGGGGAGCCAAAGAATATTTGCAAGTATTAGCAGCTGAGTTCTCAATTCAACCACACCTGGAGATTGATTATCTGCAGCAAAGTGATTAGTAGCAAAGTAGTATGGTAGTTTTGATAGCAGTAGTAATTTGCAAGTATTAGCAGCTGAGTTGTCAATTCAACCACACCTGGAGATTAATTATCTGCAGCAAAGTGATTAGTAGCAAAGTGGTATGGTAGTTTTGATAGCAGTAGTAACAGTAACAATAACGGTAACAATGATAGCAATGATTTTGTAGCAAGTGTAACAGTAGCAGCAACAGTAGTAACCTAGCAAGAACAATATATGGAAAATTCGTAGGCATTGGATCGGTGAATTTGTTGTATGATATTCATCATATAACAGTCATAACCTAGGGCGATACGGCACTAGCTCCAGTTCATAAATATAATGTAGACATGTATTCCGTAAATAGTCATACATTCTTATGGAAAGAACTTGCATGACATCTTTTTTCCCACCCTCCCGTGGTAGCAGGGTCCATGTGGAAACTAAGTGATATTAAGGCCTCCTTTTAGTAGAGAACCGGAACAAACATTAACACATAGTGAATACATGAACTCCTCAAACTACTGTCATCACCGGAAAGTATCCCGACTTCTGTCACTCCAGGTTTTACGGATCATAACACGTAATAGGTGACTATAACTTGCAAGACGGATCTAGACCATAGATATAATGGTGATAACATAAACGATTCAGATCTGAAATCATGGCACCTGGGCCCAAAGTGATAAGCATTAAGCATGGCAAAGTCATACCAACATCAATCTCAAAACATAATGGATACTAGGGATCAAGCCCTAACAAAACTAACTTGATTACATGATGAATCTCATCCAACTCCTCACCGACCAGCGAGCCTACGAAGGAATTACTCACTCCCGGGCGGGAGCATCATGGAATTGGCGATGTAAAAGGTTTGGTGATGACGAAGATAAAAAATCCCCCTCTCCGGAGCCCAAAACGGACTCCAGATCTGGCCTCCCGATGAAGAATGCTCCGTCTCATGAAACGCGGTAATTCTTTCTCTCTGGTTTTTTCTCCGAAAATGTGAATTTATAGCGTCGGAGATAGGGTCAGCGGGGCCACCAGGTGGGGACAACCCACCTGGGCGCGCCAGGAGGGGAGCGCCCTGGTGGGTTGTGCCCACCCTGGGGCCCCCCTCTAGTGGTTCTTGGCTCCAATAATTCTCTTTTATTATATAAAAAATCCTTTCAAAGTTTCGTTCCAATCAGAGAACTTTTATTTCTGCATAAAAAACAACACCATGGTAGTTCTGCTGAAAACAGCGTCAGTCCGAGTTAGTTTCAAATCATGCAAATTAGAGTCCAAAACAAGAGGAAAAGCGTTAGGAAAAGTAGATACGACAGAGACGTATCAGTATACTCTGCTTCATCTACCGAGTTTATCTTCATCTTCATCTACCTCATTCCTTCAAGATGTCATGGATCAACTTCAACTTCTCTTTGTTCTTCTCCTCTCCAATGCCTTCAACTGAACAGCAACCTGAACCTTGAGCTCATCCCTGGGTTTTTTGAGATTATCATGTCTCTTCTTGAGATCAGACATGTGAAGATTCAGCTGCACACTCTCTCCAGTGACTTTTTTCACAGTCTTGGTGAGCTCATCAACCCGAACCTTTAAAATTGTTGTTGCCGTCACTTAGCTTTTCCTTCGCTTTCAAATGATTCATCTTCAGGTTCCTAATGAGACTGCCTTGAGCTTCTATCAGGTTCATCAACACTGCATACTTCTCTTGCAGCGTCAAGTTCTCTGCCTCTTTCTTCTCCATCTCAGTCTTCATGCCAGCCACAGTTGATGCACTGGTAACCTCAACTCTCTTCTCCTTAGCCTGCACATAGCTGAAATAACAGGGTATTGAAAAGTTGATGAACATCTTCAACTAGTTTGTCATAGTTGGCATCTAGATTCCTTTTTTCTTCTTTAAGGTGGTGCATAGTAAGTGAATAATCCAGATTATCCTTCCTCCTAGCAGTCTTTCTGTCTTCAAACATTTTTCAAAGCTTCAACAATGCATTTTGCATTGTGGGAGGCCACTCTGGGTCAACCCACCCAAGAAAACTACAATTCTGACCTTCCTACAATATAGCAACACTTATATTGTTACTCTCTGAAAAATTCCAATTATAAAAGGGCATTTAAAAAAAATGCAACTAACAGCATAACAACTATACAACCTATGCATGTGGCCAACTAAACAATGTTAATTCTACTGCAACCTAAGATCTAGGACAAATTGTCATGCAATACAAAATAAAGACAAGTAGCTGTGCAACACTCAACTTTGAGCTTCTAGTATTAAATAATCACCATTTGCCTCAATTAAACAATGAGCATCTCCACTGCTAACTAAGATGCCGGTCGGTCAGATACATGGTCAATACGTGCTTATACGGTTGTCAGACCGTTTTGCAACATTCAAACTTAAAATTGGTACTGAACTGCAAACAAAATGACTACTGTTACTAATTCATTAGCGAAGCGTGGTATTTTCTTGCAATTAACTCCTACGAGCGGAGAAGATGAAGGAGTCGCACCGGCAAGGCCGCGGCCGCCGTGGCTCGCAGCTCGGCGACGATGACTTGCCTTCGTCTGCCTACGACACGCCGCCGCGCCGCCAGGAGGACTCGGACGGTGACGATTCCGACGAAGCAACAGCAGAAGACGAACGCGACGGAGGCGCGGAAGAAGGCGACCGCCTGGGCCAGTGGCAGGTCGGCTCCATGCCTTCCAAGTTCCACCTGAACCAGCTTTCCGTGCAGGTAACTTCGCTAGCTTCCATCGTATCTTGGATCTGTGAAGGTCTCCGTGCTCACAACCTGTTCGACGAAATGACGATGTGTTGTGCTTTTGTGGCCAGTCGCCAAAAGGGGACATCAGCTACCCTGCTGTCAATTTCGCTAACTCTTTGGCCGCAGTGTGTATCTATTACTGAGGATCTGAGGAGTCCCATTAACTCGAAACGATGAACACTTTGACACATATAACTAGGAACTGTAATACTAAAATGCTTACTCTTTGGAGTAATTTGGTCAGTATTCAGTGGTGTTCAACATCAGAGATGTTATTATTTAGCTTCAGAGTATAAGTGCATGAGTTGCTCGTAATCTTTCTTTTTTCCTGTTGGCAGTACTGAGTGGCTTCGCACTGATACGAGACGAACAGCAGTGGGCTTAGACTTTGACCGTGAGTCACTTGAGTGGTGTCTTGAGAACAACCTGAGCAAGATTGGAGCTGATGGGTATTTGAGGTTGTTGCTTTTTGATGGAAATATTCTGCAGCCAAATGAATCTCGCCTTGTCAAGCAAAAGATCAGTGATCTCGTGCAAGGTCTAAATTTTACCAGTGATGATGGCTCTACTGAAACGAACAGCTGCGAGCAGTCAGATTCTTCATTTACGAAATGTGAAGCCAATTCGACCATGTCAGATGCAATTTTGCCTGGAAGAGACATAATTTGTGCATTCAACTACAGTTGTTGTTGCCTTCACAAGAGAAAGGACTTGGTTTTGTATTTCAGGCATGCTTTCAATGCACTTTCTGAAAGAGGCGGTACATTTGTAATGGATGTATATGGTGGCACGTCATCTGAATGCAAGCTTCGTTTCCAGAGGAGATTCCCCAGCTTCACTGTGAGTAGATTTATAGCATTGCTTAATCATTGCAGCACATCGAGGCCTTTCTTCTAAAGTACCAGTTAGAAACATACTAGGCATACTGTCATAAGATTAGTATGTTTTAGGGTGAGGTTGCATTTTTTTATTGGTAAATGATGCAGTATTTGTAAGAAGAATTTACAGCATGCTAACAAATCATTTTTATTGGTAAATGATGCAATATGTAAAATTAGAAATATGTGGCGGTTGTTGTCTGCGACATGAAAGATGTTGAATTTTGTATCTCGCTTCCTGAGCAATTTAGCTACAGATTTTATTTGACTTACTGGTGCATCATCATGTAGTTAGCTAAAGTTAAGACAGCTTGAACTAGCAAGTCAGTAAGTTATACTACTCCCTCCGTTCCTAAATACTTGTCTTTCTAGGCATTTCAACAATTGACTACATACGGAGCAAAGTGAGCGAATCTACACTCTAAAATATGTCTACATACATCCGTATGTAGTAGTCATTTGAAATGTCTAGAAAGACAAATATTTAGGAACGGAGGGAGTATTTGTTATGGGTTGCATGGCAAATATATGTGTTACACTAAGTTTCTTTCATAAATAACACACTTGATGGATTTGATGAAGTTAGCTTGGATATGATGTTTCAGTACACAAAGATTGTAATATCTCCAATATATTGTATTGACAGAGCTTCCTTTACACTCATCGTTCATATAATTTCTACCCTTGTATAGTCTGCAAGTTGATATGAACTGGAACATGCAGGAGCTTTATTAGTGAGAGCTCATAATCTTCTGGCATAAAATATTTAATGTAGAATTCTTCTTCTTATATACAACTATGCCTACAGTATTTCTGGGAGCAAGAAGAGTTTGACATCATAACTCGTGAAACAAGGATCAGCCTCCACTTTCAAGTTGGAAAGAAGCAAATGATACGGCATGCTTTCACGTACCATTGGCGCCTGTAAGTTTTGCTTATACATTACTTAGCAAGGCCTTAGGTTCAGACTTATCGCTTGTTTTCCCATTCACCGATCGAACAGTTCTGGAAAACCTGCAAGGTTGCTAGTCTTCCAATACAAATAATTAGTATAAAAAATTAGGCAAACTGTCATGGTCTTTTGGGCCTTCTCTCAGGGTGGATTGGATCTACGGCGGTATTGACTAGGATGGTTGATGGGAGGGTGACCAACGCCACTGAGGGAGAAGAAACCTACACGCGTTATAGATAGGGGGTAGTAGGGTAGAGAGACAGAGAGAGATGTTTTCTGTTGAATAAACCCCATATGCCTGGCGTCATTATATAGGCTAGGCTCTAACCATTGAAACATAAACTGCAAGGGAGCACATCTTATCTGATGGGAAATAATAAACTGAATCTAAAGTAACCAAAACATATCCTGAAACTCGAGATAGATGCTTATCTTTAAACTTGATCTGCTGCAATGCCTCCAGATCCTTCCATGGCGTCAATAGGCCTGGGCCTCTTGTGGTAGCCTGGTAGGTTCCAACACTGAGCTGTCATACTTTGATGCTGCTGCCATCTGCGATTGTTACTCAGAAAACGAAAACCTGCTTCAAGGTGGAATATGTTTTCAGTTATGGGGCGTTTTTCAGTTATGGTCAGTGGTGCACTTGTGCATCGCTACCAAAGCTTCCTTGCCACACTATTGGTTTCTGGAAAATATGCATGTGAATGGCAAGACAATGTTGTTGATCCAGATGGACGGAGAGTGTCTTCGAAAGAGCACTGCTACACAGAGGACGCTTGTCCAGCCGAAACTTGCACGACATGCCCATCGCACCATCCATGGGCAAATCTAGACAGCAGCGTGCGGTGGGATTAGCTGTAGTGCATTGTCGTTCAGCAAAGGGTCGTCCGTGAAGTACTTCCGTCTTTGAAATCGCAATTCATGTCGCTCTTTTGCAGGTGGTCGATACCGGAAATCAAGGACTGCCTGGAGGAAGCAGGATTTAAGTCCATCCACGTCTGGTTCAGGGAGATGCCAGACACCAAATCAAGCGGAAACGCCAGGGAGTACACTGCCGACCGCGACGTGAAGTACGAGGAGCTCCAGCGTTTCAACCAGGCAGACCTTGGAACGCGTACATAGTCGGGGTAGCAAACATGTAGCAGATGAAGCGATCCTTGCTGCCTCCTGTTACGAAAATTGGGTGGAAAGTTGGAAACCTGACAATTTTCCCTTCCAACACCGGAGGTTTTGCCTAATGTGCACATGCTCACCCACGCCCTATTGACACGACGCCGCATCGCATTGCAGCCTCAAGTATCCAAAGGATGTTTGCGATGACAGTTCTAAACTACTTTCTGTAATAAAACCATCCCTTTCAGTCTCTCGCCATTTGCGGAAAACCGATTGTGATTCGGTACGGCGAGGCTTCTTGAATTTGTGGAGTTGCACTAGGCGGCGCTTCACCAGGTCGAGCTCTCCCCGCTCTGGTGCTCCCGTCCAGAGGGAGGCAAGACTTGTAGCAGTCGCCGTTTCAAGAGAGCAGAGCCGCAGAACCATTGGTAAGTCTCCATCAATCTTCAGAGTTCCCTTGGTCGGATGGCTTGGTCGTCTTGGTCACCTCTCTACCTCAACTTTCTGTCCCTCTCTCCAAATGGAGCTTTCTGCTGTGAGACACCCCGCCCTATTGGGTCTCGTCTAGGTATCATCCACCGCTTCTCTTGTTTGCATCACGGTGTGGCGTGACTTTGACAGAAGCGGCATTTGTATCATCGCTCTGTCCTTGTCTCGTGGTCAAGTACCTCAGGTCCCATTCCAGATTTGTATTATCGCAGTAACAGCTCAGCCCGGTTAAACTTTGAAGCTGTGGGACACCTTTCTCTTTGTACAGCTTTCGTGCGCAGCTGCGGCGAAGGTTCCGATCGATTTTCCGGATCAAATCCTGGGCGGCTCAAAAGCGCTTATTCACGGTGCTATCTCGCTCGCCATCATGGATTCCACCTAGGCTAGAGCACGCACTGCAAAGATCGCTCCGTCGCCTTTGTATCAATTCAGCGGCGTACGCAAAGGAGTCCACATGGTCTCCGTCGTGCCAATGATACAGGTTCAAAGTGCGGCGAGTGAGGACCGAGAGCGACGTACACCTGATCTACCCCATGCACTCATCGGTTTGCTTGAGATCTACTCCTAGTGGAGGAAACAGGAGCAGAGAAACGACCGGCGACGGCGCGATCGGGGACTGGGAACGAACGACTGGAGTGGAGTGGAGTGGAGTGGCCAGTGGGTTTATCGGTTCGGCCAGTGCTGAGCGACCCCTGTTTCCACCAACGCAAAGCTGGCTGGTAAATTAGGACGTGTGTTTAGATCGTCACGCAGAAAAAAAACGACATGTCCATTGTTGATCGCAGCAAGAAGCAGTGTCGCATGGCGGCCTGTATTGCGTTGCATGCCTGACTGACAACGATGTCTGCTGCCTGCTACGTCGATTGAGGAAAAGGAGCGCACATGGAGACGAAAGGATTCGATGCGCTTCCCTCGGACTCAGACCATCAAAACGGCGTGTGTGTATGTGTGGTGTGGTCTCGCTTTATTCTGTTGTCGCTTCGATCGCGCGGGCGACTGAATCGATAGGGAGACAACGTACAGACCGTTGCCAACTGCCCATCTTGCTTTTCTGCCCCTTGTCCAGTGGAATTTGTCAATTTTGCCCCATCCGAGTGGCAACCAAAATTGTGTGGTAGTAGGCTGAACAGAGATGACTAGTTTGTGATGTGTTTGGTAGACTGCATTCCCCAGCTACGCGTCGTGTCTGGTAGGCTGCATGCCCCCAGCCACGCCCGCGCCGAATCAAATCAGTCTATTTGGTTGCCTGGACTGCATCTGTTTTCCGGCCTGCACGAATCTCAAAGCAACTCTGGGCCTGCATCCGGAAGAACGGCCGAATGGGTCGTTTTTCGTGAGCCACCTGTGGCGAGCGACTACACGTGTGTGGAAGCGCGGGAGACGACGAGACGTCTCATAACTCCCTACACTCTCTCCAGTCACCTCTTACGACAGTTCACACACACTCGCTATCTCTCCCCTCACCACCCCGTCGGTGTCTTCGATGGCAGACCCATTGTCGCGTCGTGTCTCCCCCCACCCCACTCCCATCATCACCGGTAGCACCCCATCCAGGAGCGGTGGATTGCCGGCCTTCCCTCTTCCGTTCGGGATCTCGCCGCAGCTCTCCGGGCGTCGTCCCCTTTCTGCAGGGTGCCGCCACCACGGGCCAATGCAGCACCGTCGCCGCGTGCTTCGGCTCCGCCATCGGTGCCGGACCTCCTCGTCTTGGGCTCGATGATAGTCCCCATCGCCTGTGACTTTGGCCGGCTCGGCTTAAGGGGATATTTTTACCCCATTCGAGGGTTTTCTCCCCTGCGTCCGGCGCAAGGGGGTGGGAGCTCGAGGATGGCGTGCGACGAGGACCACAGCCACGACCCTCGGAATGGCCAACTCATCTTTGGCGGTGGTGACACCCCTGTTCCTGCTAGGGTTTTCTCCACGGCCCGCATATGCTCCACTGGCACCCGCTCCAATAAGCAAAGATTTGTCCCCCTTGTAGATGAGTTCCTAGTTAGGGTTCTTAGCGTACTTCGAGTAATGGTTAGTAGGGCAATGTTAGATTTAATTGCTCGCAGTGGATTGGATTGTATTCGATCCGATCGGATTTGGTATGAATCTAGTACATTTGGGTTGAATAAGACAAACGGAAGTTTTGCTACTGCTTAGATGAGAATGTCGTTGCCTTAGTCATGCTAGATTGGTGCATTTGTCGCCGCTCCTACCACATTATTACTGCCTAGGGTAGATTGGTTTGTTCGTGTCACATTGATACTGCCTACAATGCTTCTGCTTAGTGTGTTCTTGCTTTTTGGTGTTGTTCTTCGCATGATCTTGTTGTATAGTGTGTATGTTGCCACATTGATACTACCTAGGCTACATCATTGCATGATCAGCATATGACGATGCATGTGCATGCTAGTAGGACACACCTGAATGCCAAAAATATTGTAGGACAAAGCCAGGCATGTGCATTTGACAACTGACATGATCTAATGGTACCATTGATCATTGGCATTTGCACTTCTACAATGTTATGATCTTATCATAGCACGACTCAAATGCAAGTGCCACTAATCAGCAACAGTTGCAAATGATCACTGCCAATGATCATCACTACTTTGCTAGTTGTCGTCCACTTTACTCACAATATAATGAAGACGGGGTTGGGACATAGCCAGCGGAGCAGTGCAGGTCATCGTCGGCGTCGAGGCTGCTGAGGAACCTCATCCCAGTTGAAAATATGCCTTAGATACAATAATATTGTATTATTATACTTTCATTTTCATAATTAAGAGTTCGTATTTCATGCCATAACTGTTGTGATTCTGGAATGCGTGATTCAGTGGAAAACTCACATGCACATGTGGAATGATAAACGGTAAAGAATAGGTTCCTAGTGTTGCCTCTAGGATTGGCTCAAGTGTTGTTGGTGATCATGTTTTCCGGATATTAGAATATCGTTAAGTGTAATGATAGTCCAAAAACAACATTAAGAGTATGACATTAGAAGGACGATCGTATTGAATCAACCCAAACTTGTTTGTTATACTTTGAGATAATATCGTCTGAAATCAATTGTTATAAGACGGAGTGTGAACATGTGTTTTAGTTCCCCAGACTATGAGAGTATCATAGTCACTTCCTACCATATGATGAACTTTGGGGTTGCTCAAACATCATTTGTAACACGGTGATCATAACGACAACTTACAAGTTCATCAAAAAGTTTGACACGAGACTAGATAGCTCGAGAGTGGGATTTGCTCCTCCGATGATGGAGAGATATTCTTAGGGCCCTCGTGGTGTGATGGCATCCATCATCATCTGGCCAGATACAGGTGACTACATCACGGAGATGCCGGAACACTTCAACGAGAAAGAAGATTAAAACTGGCAACAATATAGTGAGCATGTGTATGAGTCAGGAGGATACCGATGCATCCTGGGTTTTTTAAAGTATTGTGAAGCAAAGGGAACATCACATTATAACCAAAGGTTCTCTCAAATGCCATTCGTGTAATCATAGGGATCCATATGGACATCCACGGTTCCACTATTGGTCATTGAACGAAGGGGTTCCGTTCATGACTATGTATTACCGAACTTACGAGGTCACAAGCTTAAGGTAATCATGATATGTTGAGTGTTAATAGGATGAGAGTATCGAGGAATTCTTTATGCGATTGTTTCATTAATGTTTGGAATAGTTTCGAGAGGATCCGGAAGCGTTTCAGAGTCACCAGAAGGATTCCAGAGTTTATCGGGTAATACCGGGTATTCCTGATAAATAATATATAGGTGTAAAATGTTGCTAGTGGTGTTAAATTAATAATTAAAAGCTCTAGTAATTGTTAGGAGGCTTTATATTTAATTTAATATCAACGACCCTTAAAAGGCCAAGAGGTGGAAGGCAACTTAGGCCACAAAGGCCCAAGTGGAGGTGGTGCCCCTCCCTTTCTTAAGGGGGACGCTGAATTGGAGTGGGGGAGGAATCCTCATCCCCCTCCTCTTGGCCCACCCCAAGGAGGCTCTTTCCCTCCTTGGTGGTTGAGGGAGTCCTGGATTAGGGGGTACTCGGACAGCCGGACTATATGGTTATGCCAGACTGTTGGACTATGAAGATACAAGATTGAAGACCTTGTCCCGTGTCCGGATGAGACTCTCTTTTGCGTGGAAGGCAAGCTTGGTGATTCGGATATGTAGATTTCCTTCTCTGTAACCGACTCTGTGTAACCCTAGCCCCCTCTGTGTCTATATAAACCGGAGGGTTTAGTCCGTAGGACAACAACAATCATAATCATAGGCTAGCTTCTAGGGTTTAGCCTCTATGATCTCGTGGTAGATTAACTCTTGTAATATTCATATCATCAAGATTAATCAAGCAGGAAGTAGGGTATTACCTCCATCGAGAGGGCCCGAACCTGGGTAAACATTGTGTCCCCCGCCTCCTGTTACCATTAGCCTTAGACGCACAGTTCGGGACCCCCTACCCGAGATCCGCCGGTTTTGACACCGACATTGGTGCTTTCATTGAGAGT